CTGCGCAGTTCTTCAATCAGTGAGAAAATTTATCGATATCATTGTTAATTCAGTTGCAATTCTTTTCCATTATTCCAAGTACAATAACATTGCTTCAGTTGCGTTCCACGGCGCCAGTGCCATCAGGAATAATAGAACGCAGATTTTGCACATCTATATGATACCTAACATTTGCAAAAGCGTATAACACACAGAATGAAAACTTTCTTATCTTTTTTTTATCATTAAGAAACTCAATTTTTTTATTCCTTTTATTAAATAATTAGCATAATATAATAATTAATCCAAACAAACGGTTAGTTAACAGAAATATTACACTGGTTTACAATTATAATTTTTATGTTGTGCCAATAAACAAATTTTCGATTAGATCTTTATAATTTATTTATTATTCGAAGTTCTTTATTTTTAGATGACGAATTTACTTAATTTATTTCACAAATACGGTCATTTTGGATGAGATTATGAGTCCTCGGCAGAGACGGAAAAATTCATTATCTTAAATTTAGATAATGAATAAATAATTTAGATTCTAAATAAAGAATTTCGAATAATAAACATAAGATAAAAATAAGTATTTTGCCATTTTTAATTGATTAAACGTAGAAATTTCAATTTTGACAATAAAATAGTATTTGTTCTTGAATGAGTAAACACGTGGCAGATAAATATTTAATCTTATTAGCTGTTTAAAGGTCACGATGACGATCTTACATACTGCGTTTTATCACAGTTCATGTAGTATTCGAATAAAATTCTGCTCAACTATGTTCCTGAGAAATTTAAAAAATAGCGGCCCTACACGCTTCCGCGAAAACGCGCGGCAAAAGATGATCCAGAGGATCGTGGTCCGTATAGTCCGCGGAAAGTTTCGATTAGACGAGCGTGATATACTCTATTTAGCGAGTATTTGGTACAGGATGTCCGTCAATGTCTGCTAATATTCAGTCGTTTTCTAGAACGGCATTAAGCCACGACACGCCTCCCTCGCAATTACATCGTTGAGCCTTCAGGGTCTGCAATGTAACTGGCCAAGGTATTGAATTGATATTTTTCTGGAAATTGTGTCGCCATCTACAAATTCTTGCTTAAAACTTCAAGAATCTTCTAGATTCTAGATCATTAGGTCACCGTGTGTGACATAATGTAAATCATATTTAAAATCGCGTGTAGATTAAATCTGTAGCTAGCATTAGTTATTTTCTTTACTAATATATCTATTTGATTGTTATTTATACTTACAAAGGCTTAACTTTTTGTATTAAAAATTAAATTAGAACTACAATTTAAGATATGGAAATATTTGGAGAAAAGATTGTATATCTTTCTAAACTAAATATTATATTGATATTAGTGAACTAATTTCTTAAATTCCATTTCCTAACTTTAGTGTTGTATGAAAGGCCACTTGTATAACTTTACCCATATTTTTATTATTATTCGAATTTTTCAGCTGTTTAGAAAGATAATACTTACTTTGAGGATAACAATAGCATTTCTGTAGTTGTTTATATGTAGAAATCTGGATAATTATCACGAGAAATATTTGCCAGATGTACAATCACCTTTGTTTTAATTGATTACACGTCTATATTTGTCCGTAAATAATAATTTCTATATAACGTATAATTTATATAAAGTAATATTGCAAATTAAATGTTGAAACTTTTGCATAACGAGTTTATTTAATATTAAAAAACTGCAGGGGTGATATAACTTTCAGTATTGAAGTATTAATTTCAAAAAACTACCCTTCAACGACCGTGTGGCCTAACGGATAAGGCGTCGGACTTCGGATCCGAAGATTGCAGGTTCGAGTCCTGTCACGGTCGACGCTTATTTTTTTTTCTTTTTAAATTGGAATTTCTCTATCCAACTCGTTTCGTACTATATCTTTTACAAAAAGAATAATTTTATTTAGTATTATTATTGAATTATTAAATATTCTATATCTAATACACGTATACTACTTACATAAAGCCAACATTCAAAAAAATTAATAATTTTTTACTTAATATATCAGTAAAGAAAATTACGCGGACAATAATTCTGAAAAATGTAAGTTAATTATTACAATTTATTTATAAAAATGATTAGCATTTTTCTTAAGAAAAGCCTTTATGGACGGGAAAGGAAATAGTTTTTTATTACACATTCCATAAAATACTGAAGAAACTAAATGCAAAGTAGAAACATTTATATTGCAAAAGAGAACACAACGAGTGAACGTAATTAAGAACGAGTATGTATACTCGCTAGCCTGAAACGGAATAAAAACAGACCGACATTTCTATTGGAACTTTTTTGTCGTTGTTTCACTTTTTCAACATTTGTCGTCCCATTGTGATCGCTTTGGAAAGTCATCTATAATTCGATCACTTCATCCATGACAACGGTATGTTCAAGGTTCATGGGATTTTGTTCAGTCGATGGTAGCAAATAGAAAAAAAAAAAAAAAAACAAACACAGTGGCCAGAGCGTGGACGATTACGTGCATCCACATCATTACGTCGAACATAATAGAATTGTGGGAACACCTAATAATTAAAGCGATCGTAGCGTGTTTCGTTTATGTGTTAAACGGGTGCAGTCATCTGTGAATCAAGGTCGCGGCTATATGATTTCACGCAGAAACAAAAATTTTTGCCTCCGCTCTGGTAGACTTCGCCGTTATGGAGTGTATGTACAAGGGAAGATACGCTACTGTTTATCTTTGACATTATCGTATCTTTCACGTGCACGCGAAACTGCTATAATACATATGTATTTCGAATGAGACTATTCAAACGAAGCAATTTTTCCGAGAACTTTACCAATTTTGCTAAAGTTATTATCATTAGCTTGTTATATAGTATACAGTATGCCCGATTGCAATTGTTAATGAATTTTTTGCGGTTTTCGTCAAATGTGTATCCTGGTATGACAATCAAGATAAAATGATTACCTATTCTAGCACAGTATCATTTTACTGGATTAACAAGAACAAATTAATTTTTCGAAATTGTTTCGTTATTTGATTCAGATTCAAATGATTTTTTGTCGTAACTTGTATTTTGGTAAACTCGGGGCCTAAGAGACTTTCTATAGTGTCTAAATCACACTATTCAGTAAATATACAGTTTTTAGTAGAAATTGAATAGAGAGTAGTAATAGAATAGAACAAACACTTGCAAATATTAGTTTTCATATTTGGAATCACTATAAAAATTCCATTCGATTCTGTTAGGTAAAATGAAATATTGTTTTCAAGTGATTTATTTGTTATACATTTTATTCTGTCAAATAATGATGGATTATAACAAACAGGTTGGGTCTCATTATGTAACAGAAACAGCTCAAGAAACACGAACAGGGTTATATACCCAGCCATTACAAAACGAACATTTCCTGTAATAATGGATCTGTTGATGATACACATTGTCAATAATCGGAGGTTTTAGAATATAAAATTCCACGATGACAGAATATCATCTTCCTAAAGAGGTTAAATAACAAATGACTCACTTACAAATAAACTAACAAGTATAAAAGTAAACGACCGGTTAAATGAATTACTACTGAGCTAACATTAATCGAAAAAAAGTAATAGTGCTAACAACAACTAAAACGAATCGTCTATTCAAATAACAGTTTCATTCGATAACAGTCAGTTCTACGATATGAAGATAACACAACGTTCGATTAAAAGAGTGCAATTCGAATAGTGAAGTGATTTGATTACGGAATGTCGGTTGTTTTATTGTATTTCCGTTGCAAACGAAGGAAATATTTCACACTTTCATATCCACCAACCGAATATTCCAAGCGATTCGAAACTTTTGATCTCTTTCGTATATTCAAATTAAAAATATACACATGGTTCCTCAAATTCCGAGATTCTGACTCGAAATGTTTATTCGTGGCTTTAATTCCCTCCTCGCCAGTGTGTTACAATAACAATCTTGTTAACTCGTGAAAGAAAGATAAAACTCTCGTCGATGCGAATCACGTCCCGCCACAGGCCGTCGCTTTGTAAACAGACTTCTATTATCATCTCCGTCGTCGGGAAGCCACGAAATCGTTGCCTTTCGGACCGTTACGACCCACGCCCATTATCAGTGCAATTACAAATTGGCCCTACTTAACCTCTTCGATATTGATTTCATGCACGTGATCCCGCCCCGCCATAGGATCATGCGTTTCGATGTAAAAACAAACGAACGCGGGGCCTCCCGATCCTCCACGATCCAAGATCCCACGTCTGTTCGCGATCGATTGTACGAATTGTTGAAAGCAATTGATCATAGAAACGCAGTCTAACGATTATGTAGTCGGTCGACAGATGCGATCTAATATTGTTTGAACGAATGAATACTGTAAAGCGGTGAAAAATCTGGAATTTAAAAACAAAAAAGTATTATGAAAGCACGCTACGGATTTGTTTTATATGTATCCCGAATGCTTACAAAAACTTCTATTTTTCTTTTAATATAAGCTTCTGGAGGAATTTTCAAGATGGCGTCCGTCGCCATTATTCACTCGACGACTTCTAATCTTTGAATATGTATTTACGAAACTTCTAGTACAATTTACTACTTAAATCTCTCCATTTTAAACTATTTTCCAACAGTTCCCATAATATATACGAGGGAACTAAATATAGCTGTATATTTTCAAGACCATACTGTTATTTATATTGAAATCGATGCTTCGCAAAAATATATTCAAAATGGCGTCCATCAGGATATTCCCATCATTAACTTTTTACGGTGTTTTCGATTTATATACTAGGTGTCTCGAAAAAGACGATAAACACATGTTGCAGAGTGGAGAAAAAAACGTTTCAGGGTCGTTTGTGCAGCGTTAATATCCCCGCAAAAGTTTTGCAAACCGACCGGCCGTGAGCGTTCGTCAATCGAACGCGCAGCTTTTTCGCTTATGTAACTGAAAATCGCGGTTTTGCGACGTGTTTCAGCTCGCAAGTGAGCGCAGAACCTAGCCCCGTCGATCAGCAGGAAGAGTTCGCCGAGATCCAACAAACCGCGTGAACGAAATCAATTTAATATCGATCGAAACCCATCGTCGTGAACGAAGGTTTCTCAGCTGACCCCATCACCACGCCAGATTCACCCAACTGCGCCGATATCGTAGAATGGTAGAGAGTGAACCTGGCTCTAAGCACAATCATAGTACGTATTCACTATATTTTCATTTCTTATTTCGTATAATTTTTGTTTACGTTCGACGCAGGGCCGTTCCTGGCGGGGGTGCAGAAGGTGCCCCCGCACCTCGGCGGCCAAACTCAGGGGCGGCCGCGGATCGTTTATTACATATATGTAAAACTTGGACTAGTAATCATAAGTTTTCGAATGATTATGCAACTTTTAGAGCAACAGAATTTAATCAAATTAATTGTACATGTAATCTTTTTGTAACAGTACTCGTATACAAGAAGAAACTATCTTTATGGACAACCCAATATAGCATATGACATTTAGCCATATTTAACGGATTAAATTCGTATAGGTAATTAATGGTCGCTATTTATCAACCATGACATCGTTATTACAAACATTATGCGTCAGTTTCGTACTTATATATGAAATAAAACATTCATTTTTTAAGGTTCCTTGTTTCATGTTATGAAAACAGAAAATAAAAAATATTTATTATTTTCATAAAATGAAACAAAGATCCTTAAAAAATGAATGGTTTTATTTAAAAAATATGTATATATATATTTAATAAAAATTAAACTGCATATTAAATTCTTAATTGAATAATATTAAATTAATAAGGGCGGCGATACTGTTTTCGTACCCGGGCGGCCAACAACCCAAGAACGGCCGTGGTTCGACGCGTCCGCTACTAGCGTCAGTTTAACTACAGCGAGTAACGAGTCTATATACGAAACATAGAATAATCAATGCGTAATTAGGAATTAACAATATTAGGATAGAACATTTTTTTTGTGCTTATCATCAAAGTTTGTACTTCAGAATATGATTGACTGGTGTGATCCTTACTCTTGTTTCTGCTTGTACTAGACAATCATTGTACAGTGAAAATCGAAACTAAGTGTACACCTTACGAAGGTGAGGTTTGTGAAATACTTCTGTAGCATCCTACTGTTGTATAATTATGGTAGTAATACAGTTGGATATGATTTTTTGTAACACTTTCGGGACGAATAGACAGCCAAACAATTCGAGAAAAAGAAATTCGAAGCTATAACCAGAGAATTTTGTAAATGTCGTTAAACATGTTCGAATGTACTAAGGTGTCAATGTCCCTATTTCTAATCATGTAAGAGCTCTGCTATCGCAGAAATTAATTTTTATTATTTATTTATGCAACAATTGACAAAAAACTTATTAGACATAAAATTTAAACTTCCCTTTATAATTAAATTTAAATAAAGTTTTTTTTAGTAAAAACAAAGCGTCCACGTGTAACTCGCGATCACAACGGAACCGTTCAAATCACGTTTCTTTACGAGAAACACACTTATTAAATTTATTTCTATTAAAATGCTTCCATCTATTGAACAGCGGGCTGTAGTATTTTATACGGAAATACTGAACTAATTTAAATAATTTTTTGTTTAACTTTTTACATTAAATAAAAAATATACGTACTGAGTAGAAATCGGGACGTGATTAGAAATAGGGACATTGACCTTATTTATGGTTTGGGGCAGCATGGTAACTTCTGGTGTAGAACAGTTGGTTTTTATTCATAGTAACTCTGGGCAAATTCGGATATTTAAATATTTTAAAATCAGATTCAACTGCAAGTGTGTTCGTGGGTCTTTTAGCGTGTTCGTGACCCAAAATATAGAAACAAATGTGGTTAAAAATTGTTGATTGGAAAACACTTTCGAACATTCAAACTATTTCAAACCCTCCACCACAGTCGCGCCAGATTTCAATGTAACGAAGCATCTGTGCGAAATATTATATTCTAAAGTGAGAGAAATAAATATGAATGAATCCCATACTTTCAAAGTGTACACTCACTTTTGACTCTCACTATACATATACATATGTCAAGTTTATTTTGATGTCAGATTATTATGGAAAGAGGACAATACTGTGTTATTGTTGGTATTTATAAATATTAGCAGAAGAAAAATAATGAGTGACGAATAGTTACACGAGTTAAGTAGTATTGAAGTAGACGCCACTAAACATACTCAAATCCAAAATCACAAACGAAACTTCATAGAAAAATGTTATTTTACTTAAAATCATCCCCTCCTCGATGCATACAGCTCATTACAGGACACCTTGTAGAATAATCTGATATAAATAAATTTTACCTTCACCGTATACGAGAAACAGTATTAACAATTAAGGAGAAGAGTCAGAAACTTATGGATCATTTTTCTTTTATTGTATCTGTAAAAGTAATACAAGGTTCACATTAAATGGAAGATAACCATACAAGTATGTATTAGTAGGTATGCATTGAATATAACCAAATTCAGAAAAAAATCAAATCTCATCTACACAAATTACGAAAATGTTATAATAATGTATCAGGTCGTCCGGAAAGTTCGTAGTGTTTCGAGCACGGTGTCTTTGTTAATATATATGTATATTTTTACTGGACAAAGAAAAATTCGTGTAATTTGGTGAATATGTACAATCTTCCAGGCGTGAATTAAATGTATTTGCTATATACGTTACTCGTCGTTTTTTTTTTGTTTTCTGTGAAAAATATCTGATAATATTTCATCTGATATTACGTACATGGGACCACACCACCTATGTATGTACCTCGGACATGGTACTTGTTTTTGTTAATTGCTAACTAACTTTTGCAGGCCTTCTCGCAGATTATGTATAAACTAATATTGTCAATTTTGCAAAAACAATCCACGAACCTTTAAAATTCGATACAGGACCGTGGTACAACCATGTCTGAGGTACAACAGGTTCCCCTATTATATAACTGGCAAAATGAAATTAATTGAAAAATGGGAAGAAATGGTACAAAAAGTAGTAAACAAAAATATGATATAAATTGAAAACTTTAAATTGTAACTCTGTCCTTAAAAACTTTATGAACTTTCCAGACAACCCAATAAATATACTATCTCTAGAACAAGAACTGTATTTTTAACAACTTCGGATACCAACCGATTTATAAATTGAAAAATTAAGAAAACTGTCCTAACAATAAGCAGACTTGCGTAACGCAATAAATATAACCTATTCTTAAGGAAATAAACACTAATCGATGACAATCTCCGAGATTCACCGTACCAAACAAACCGAATTGAACGGAAGTATTTGCTACCGAAAATGACTAACTATACACACACTCGATCACAATGTCCTATCGCGGGTGGAGGGACAAGCAGAAAGGTTTATGGTCCTAGGAAAGACTGGCGCGTATGCCTACGCCAAGATAACGAAGTGAATCAACGGGACCCTGAGTGATTTCAATGATTCTAGTCCCGCGTAGGGTTGCGAGTCGTCGTCCATCAGTTGACGAACTTTTCAGACGTGGAAACAGCCTTACTTCACGTTTAGTCGATCCCTCGAATTATTCACGTTCCCGACACGACAGGACATCTCGATGTTCCCGACTCAAGGAATAGGCCCGTTATGGTTGACCAATCCTTGAAATTCACCGGAGAAGGTTAATAACTTCAATTTGGACGCGAAATAGGACGTCCAAATATTTAGCGTGCGCGTTATAAGTTGGGGGTGGGGGGTTGTTAATTTGCAATAGTGTCGAGTGATGGTACGGAAATTATACGTGTTTGAATTGTTTTGTTTTTTCTTTACATTTCCAGAGTGTGATGTAAAAGACGAGCGGCTAAACGGCTGTGGCTCCAAGGATCTTGAACTTGCCCGTAAGTAGAAATCGATCGAGGTAACTGTTCGCGATCGTACACTTGATATTTTGAATTTTTTATGTTCTTTGGCACAGGTATTGGAACGAAGGGCAAGACCCTTGATCCCGAGAAAGGATCCTACGTTAAAGCAGATTTCGAGAAAGCAATCGAACTTACCGGTAATTTAACCATGAATTTTATACATATTTTTTTTATATCGGGTTGGTGCATCCAAAACTGTGTCGTGTGATAAAATTTTACCGATTATCAATAATTATCGTTGACTCCTATACATAGTCCTCAACGATTAATTAAGGCATTCGTATTGTTTCTGAACTATTAATATCCGACAAAATTACTTGAGTCGCAAATCAAGCTCTAATCTGTTATAGTGAATATTGTAGATGGAATTGAATTTAATGTACCTATCCTTTTGTATATTTTTCGCAAAGTTATGAATGCAATATGAGGCTCAAGCGTGGTTACCATAGAGGATTATACATTACCCCGTTATTAACATTAATTGTACTTTTGGTTAACGTCTTATTCAAATTTCAAGTACATACTATTTATACAAGGTGTCCCACCTAACTCTGCCACCCTTAATTATTCTCTTATTTGTCACGGTACAAAATCATGGTTCGGGAGAAAGTTAGTGTATTTTAGGGGGAAAATTAGACTATGAGATTGAAGGTCATCGCAAGGTTATATGTTCTGAGATTTCTCTAATGGTAACGTTTTTTTAAATCTATTGCTCTTTTTTTTTGTTTGACATTAAAAAGAGGAGATCAAAACGTATCCCACAATGTATATCACACTATTGGGTGACAACTCTTTGAACATACAGTAAAATAATAAATAATGCGATTATGGCGTTTATTTTGTTTCTGCAATTCATTTTCTGTGAGCATCCACCTTAAGCAGTTACGTGCGAAATTTTCAGCCCAAGGTCATTTCAAGGTCAGTGTGATACATTGTTGGATACGTTTGGATCTCCTCTTTGTAATGGCAAACAAAAAAAGTAGGGCTCTCCGTGTAAAAAACCGTTACCATTAGAGCAATCTCAGAAGATATGACCTTGAAATGACCTTCAATCTCATAGCCTAATTTCCCCTCTAAAATAAACTAACTTTCTCCCGAACCATTTTTTTGTACCATGACAAATTGGAGAATAATTAAGGGTGGCAGAGTTAGGTGGGACACCCTGTATATGTATACATATATGTATGTATTCTATTTTTATCCTTTTCTGTTTATACATTTCTATGTACCCACTTTTTCGAAATAATTTTATCGGCCGTTTATATGCATCAGCTGAAATACCATAAGAATTGGAAAGTAACTTCTGTTCATTAGCTTCTTAACTATGTTTTTTTCTAGACTATGGCAAGTTCCACTACTTCCTGCTCACGGTATGCGGTTTCGTCAGCACTAGCGAGGAGATGGACGTGATCTCCATGTCCTTCATACTGCCGAGTGCACAATGTGATCTAAAGCTCGACACGCAAGCCAAGGGATGGCTGAACTCGATCATCTTCATCGGCATGATGGCCGGCGCCTATGCCTGGGGCTCCGTCGCGGACGCCCTGGGTCGCCGGAAGGTTCTAATCGCCATCTCGTTCACGAACGCCCTTTGCATCGTGGCCTCTAGCTTCAGCCAATCTTACGAACTCTTCATGTTCTTCCGTTTCCTGAACGGTGCTGCGTAAGTGACACAATTAAAAGATCCTCTAGAATCTAACTGTACATATTTAGACAGTAAACGGCAACCATATTGACTAACAAGGAGTGTATTTTAGGTGTCCGCCTCCGATTGCTTTGGTTTTCGGATATGTTTTAGAGGACCGAAAAATAAGAGATACGTATTTTTTTATAGCGGCCCGTTTTCATATTTAGGGGGTGAAACCACCCCTCAAAGTTTCGACCCGGAAGTACTATCTCGAAAACCAGAGGAGATACATGAAGACTTTCAATTGGTGGCTTTCATGGTTTTTTATGTACAATAAACTGGTGTTAACAAATTGTCAAAAATACAATTTGTTTATAAGAAAAAAGTTTGGTATAACTTTATTTTACAACTTATTGAAATTTGCGTAATGACATAAAATGACGAGCACTTAATTCCAAATCTATTGATATATTTATTTTTGAAATTGCCTCCTTAGTTTCGCAGTTTTTTATTATTTATATCCTGTGCGCACGCCCGCTCTTTAAGCTTCCGATTGCCTCGGTTTTCGGAGAATATATTAATAAAAATTAAATAATGGTCAATTATTAAAAGTCAATATCGATTTCTCAAAAAATTTGATATAATTTTTATGAATCTTTTTGTTTGCAAAAGCAACTTTTATTTGCAAACGTGATGTCTTGTGTCATTCATATTTGTTGTTTTTCAACGAACGTATGCAGCGGTACAAGAATAACTCTGGCGACGTTATTTTTCTGAAAAACATGTTTCGCAGACTTTCAAAAATAAATATACGAATGGATGTGGAATTAAGTGCTCGTCATTTTATGTCATTACGCAAATTTCAATAAGTTGTAAAATAAAGTTATAACAAATTTTTTTCTTATAAACAAATTGTATTTTTGACAATTTGTTAACACCAGTTTATTGTACATAAAAAACCATGAAAGCCACCAATTGAAAGTTTTCATGTATCTCCTCTGGTTTTCGAGATAGTACTTCCGGGTCGAAACTTTGAGGGGTGGTTTCACCCCCTAAATATGAAAACGGGCCGCTATAAAAAAATACGTATCTCTTATTTTTCGGTCCTCTAAAACATATCCGAAAACCAAAGCAATCGGAGGCGGACACCTAAAATACACTCCTAGTAAGTGATTTAATTTACAGTTCGAATACCTTAAAACGGAAAAACATAAAATCTATTTCCAATGGAAGGAAAAGTTTTCGCAATAAAATTGATGAATTTTGACTAAAAATTACGTTTAACAGGCCCTTAGCAACTACGTTATAGAATATAATAAAATTGAATGATAGACTTACGTATGGAAGCCATATTGGATAGGAAACTTCGATTACAGTTGGAATACATTAATCCGGCGAAAGACTACCGATAAATGAAAAAATTCTTATCGTAAAATTGCCGAATATTAATTGAAAAACAATTATTAATTTTCGTGTAGCAATTATGTAAAGTATAAAATGTAGTAAAATTGAACGATATATAATATATTACCGGTTTATGAAACTTCTTTTTTGCATTGGATATTTAGTGTATATATGTTATTTAACAGAGAATTTATCGTTTTAGCCTCGGTGGCAGCGGACCTGTCATCTGGTCCTACTTTGCAGAGTTCCAACCAAAATCAAAGCGAGGCTCGATGTTATCCTTTATGGCGGCGTTCTGGACACTTGGGAACCTTTTTGTCGCTGGTAAGTTTCCTCATATTATTTGTATACTACGTGCCAACTTACAGTACATTCATCTACTACCAAAAAATATCGGACAGTTTTATTTCAGCTTAACGGTATCAACGACCTCGAACGTTTAACAACGTTCATCCTGTGCAGTCTTCACCACCTTATTATGTACAGTAACTCACATATTTGTTCGCATTCTTACAAAAGAACAATTAAATGTAAAACTTTATATGCAATTACTATTTACGTATTTACATTATTTTTACTTTTATCATAGTTTTCTGATAAAGTTTCCTCAGTTTTTAAATAAAATTCGCGGTTTTGTACGTAATTCTGCCGAATAAAGGCCTTTCGAACAAATCTGAGAGTCACTATACAGGCTGTCCCACCCAACGTAAGCACCTTTAGTATCTCACTTGCTTTTGATTTGCAGACAAATTTTAATAAATCCATAAAATGATGATTTTTACACTAATTCCTCCAACGTAGTTATTTCACCATTTAAATCTACTCTCGTACATTTGTGGATTTTTTGTATTCCAGCTCACATGAAGGTCTCACTATTATAGGTCGTTGGATTTGTCTTAATCTCAACTATTACGCAACGCTAATAAAAATATGTAGTCCCGTTTAAAAGAAAACATCGATAACCTTAAAATTGCGAAAAATATCACCTTAAGGGGTCATGCTCAGTCAGGAGGCCGAAAAAAGAGTGTTCTTTAGGAATTTTTTTCTCGAAAACTATAAGATCTTTTTCAAAAAATGTGTTTGTGTTTCAAAGATTGCAGTTTCTAGATTATAAGGTAATTTTTGTATTTAAAAATATTTATTAGTAAATAAATGGTGAGCGATCTCCCAGATGTCTCTTCACAAAAAGTGGTCTGCCGTGATCACTGTAACTTCGTAACGGTTCATCTGAAATTAAAAATTCAGTAAGATTTATATAACGGAAGAAGGAATCTTGCCCTTGATCCCCGGGGATCATTTTATACACATATATTACAAAATGATCCTTAAGTATGCCTTCAAAGAAATGTGAATAAAAAATATAATTGATCACGTAGCCACGTTTAAGCCAATGATAAGATAGATAGACTAACTTAAAAAAACTACTTTACTCTTATTTAAATAATGAGCATTTGTATTTTGTATATAAATTACGCCTTAAAGGGATCGTTTTAAACACCTTTCCCCTACATTAAACTTGGCCTGTTTTTCTTCAGGTTTGGCGTGGTCAATCATCCCTAACGATATCGGTATTGCGAGTACGGCGTTCACGTACAACTCTTGGCGAATCTTCCTGCTGATCTGCGCTGCTCCGTCGTTTATCGTCGCGGGGCTGCTCCTGCTGCTTCCTGAATCCCCCAAATACCTCCTGTCCTGCGGAAGATACGAGGAGGCTCTCGACATATTCCGCGGGATCTATGCCATTAACACTGGCAAATCGCGTGAAAGTTACACGGTAAGTGAATAGTAATTATGTTTAACAACTTATAAATTCTAGCTAAATTTCACATTTCGACTTACAATTGGATATTAAAAGTGTTGTTTCTGGGGAACGTTAAGAGATCTGTATGGAAAGTGAGCAGTCTTTTTATCGCAACAACGCTTAATTACAGCTCAAATAGCACATAACGCCTAATGACGTCTTGAAGACGGTTTAAAGGCGCCTTAGACCTAAAACAGCCATAAAATGGGTGTCTTCAAGGCGTCATGTGCTATCTGGGAGATAATGTAAAACGTGAAAAAAAAAAAATGGCATGAAGTCGATTATCGTATTTCACTTCCTCTATTATTTGGACATAATCCCTTTTGATTACGAAGTACTTCGAGGTTTTCAATATTTCTTGGTAGATAAGGAAATTAAAATGTTGTTAATATAATGAACGATGTCCAGGAATATTCGAATGAAAAATCAAGGAAACTTTTTAGAGAGAACATGAGTTTTATTTTCTCAGCACGAATTTCTTGAACGACCCAAAAGAAAATTTCTTAACCCTTTGCAATCAGAGCTTTTTTTGGGTATGGAGAATCAACAAGTCGACGAAACGTTTTTTTAAGCAAACATAAAAACTTATAATATACATATTATAACGTTATACATACATTTATTTATTGTAAGATTAAATATATTTTTACATTTAAAGGATATAATATTAATCCCTCGAGTTTTATTATTTTCTTTCGTGTAATATTTCAAAAACATTCTCTAAAATACATCCACCAAACGCTCGTGTCCCCATACTTCGTTCAATCTGTAGGACTGAGCACCGTATTTAACATCCCTTCTTTTCGGAATTGCGCTCTGATAATTTTTCAAGTTTTTCTTAAATTCTATTACTGGTTGTAGGCAATTTGAAGTGCAAGAACAAAAAATACCTGAAGCCAGACCGAGAGTTGCCTCTCGATTGCAAAGCGTTAACTTTCATCCGTATTCTAGATTTCTAGGTTCATATTGTGACAAATTTAATGAGATCCCAGCGATAGAACGTAACGATAACAGGCATCGAAACTTCAACTCTGAAGCTGCTCAGAAACCGATTACTAATAAGTCTCCTATAAATATTCTTATCCGAAATATTCAATTTTCAACAGGTGAAAGAATTGATCCTCGACGACTACCACGTGCCGGAAAAGGCGAAGGTTGGTGTCGAGAAGAACAAATGTAAGACAATACTCGGCGACATCATGGACAACAGCAAACAACTATTCATTTCGCCGATCCTTCGTTTCACCATAATCTCGATTATCATAAACTTCACCTTTCACATCGGTTATTACGGTCTGATGATGTGGTTCCCCGAGCTGTTCAATCGTTTCGACGAGTTCCATCGCGATCATCCCGGCGAGGTCGCCTCCATATGCCAGGTGACCGAATACGTGGTCCAAAAGGGTTCTCACAATGTCGAGAACCTTTGTTCGGACAAGATCGGCGCCTCTGTCTTCTTGGAATCTCTCATCACAGTAGCCTCCGCCATTCCCGCGAACATCGTCGCTGTTTTGGGAATGGATCGACTTGGTCGCAAGTTTTTCCTCGGTAGGTAACAACCCAGTCACCCAAACCATATACATATATAGACGGAGCATTAACTGAGCGGGGGAGTAAGATTCGCGGTAAGGGGGTGGACAGCGGTAGATCGGGTAACTTCGTTCCTTTTCGGTGCTATTCGGGTATACAATCACGTTACATACATGTATGCTGAGAGAAATGAAAAGAATATACCTATTATACGTTAAAAATTCCGTATGTCATATAGTTTGTATAGATATATGTATGTATTTGACAAAATTAATAAATAGTATAAAGGATTAAATAATAGTACGGCACACAGCCCACCAGCCATTAATAACGAGCCGAATCGAGCCAAATGCATCCGAAGCTAACCGACGTACCTCAAACGGTCGCTGCCTTTTCCCCTCCAATCCTACGGTCTCCTTGCCCAAAGTGGTAGCTTATGCTCCGTCTATACAGAGTGTAACAAAAATGTTGTCCGACCCGGAAATGGGGCACTCGGAGGGTGAATTGGAACAAGTTTTTCCTTAGCAACAATGTAATCTGAGGCTTCGTTACCGAGATATTAACGAAAAACCCCGACCAATCAGAGCGCGAGTTTTCCAGCCGAGTTCCCGCGGTAGCGTTGGCTACAAATCGCGGCGCGTAGCCACCGCTAGCGCGGGAACTCGGCTGGAAAACTCGCGCTCTGATTGGTCGGGGTTTTTCGTTAATATCTCGGTAACGAAGCCTCAGATTACATTGTTGCTAAGGAAAAACTTGTTCCAATTCACCCTCCGAGTGCCCCATTTCCGGGTCGGACAACATTTTTGTTACACCCTGTATATGTCTATGACCCAAACCTGCAAAGCCAAATTTTTGTCCAATGCCGGTTATAAAGTTAAGCTACAAGTTCGATGCAATATTTCCTATAAACAACTTGCGCGCGCATTAACAGCAACATAGGCAGTAACTTGGCTCGCGCAAACTCTGTTCCGCTTTTGCTCCAAATTTGACACAGGTTATGTTGCAAAACTTGCTACCAATTTGCTTTAGAATTTTGTCAGCTGGCGTTGCCTGCAAAACCCAAGTCAAATGCGGAAACAGATGGCTATGGTTTTTTAAACAATCTATGTCATTATTTGCTGGCAAAGGTCTAAACTTGGACACATCTGGTTATCAGGAAAACTTTCAATCCAATTTCTTTTATACAGACTCCTCTCGATTATTGTTCCGAACTCGGGTCCAGGTCAGGACAATAATCTTATAGGGAGAAATGCGTTAGACCCTTGTAAATTCCTTTTCTGCTCGAAGCCAGAGCCTCGGAAACAAAAGCGGGGGGGGGGCAACAATGTATGCGGACAATAATCGTGTAGAAGAAGCCAGACGATAATCGAGAGGAGTCTGTATTTGTGAATTCCGTTCCGACTTCTCGATCAAGGTTTTTACATTAATGCTAGTAACGTGATTCCATTCGAACGGTGTGTATGAAATTACCGATAGCAAACTGTAAGAATATTTAAACCAGTAATCAGTAGACTGCGGAAATGTATGCAAATTCATAATTTTTTATGTACTAACATCTAAAAATTAAAATTTGACAGAATTTTGAATCCTTTGCTAGAGGCTTTACTATGTCAATAATAACATATAAATAGTATTAAACATTATTATAATCTTTATCCTGTTGCAATTTCCAAGTTAAAGGACGCTATAAATGCAGAAACATCCGCAGTTTACAAGACTGCGGATTATACAGAGTAAATGAAAAACCTAACGTTTGCACCTCAAATATCTTTGTTGTTTTGAAAGATACATAAAATGTTTTACGGACAATGTTGAATGGTACAATGGGGCTCAGACGATGCCAAAAAATTTTTTGGTTTTGTCATTTTTTTTAGATATATCAAGGTCACTTTCATTTTTTTTAAATGGAACCACCCGTTTTTCTGTGACCTCGAATAATTATAGTCATTGAATTCCTAATGAAAGGGACTATCATTGTAGGTATTTAAAAAAGGGTGGTCCCGTTTTAAAAAAAAGGAAGGTGACCTTGATATGTCTAAAAAAACATGACATAAAAACAAAAAATTTGTTGGCATCGTCTGAACCCCATTGAACCATTCAACATTGTCCTTAAGATATTTTATGTATCCTTCAAAACAACAAAGATATTTGAGGTGCAAACGTTAGGTGACTCACCCTATATACATTTATTTTTATAGCATTACGACTATGAGAAATATGATAAATGGTAAAGCTAACATCAGATCCAATACATTTTCTGCCTTAATCTTGTCATACTAAAATCTTCAAAAAATGGATGAAATTCCAATGTTCACATCTACCTTTACAAATCACTTCGAAAAATGTTATTTTGCATAAAATTCCGCAGTCTATCACTGATCAGTTTCATTGATCAGTTATCTTGACAAAAATCTGAACGCGGTTGACAGGACGTAACGGACTGAAAACAGTGGAAATATCTGGTCTCGCTTAAAAATATTAAGTCGTCACAGGTGTCCCTACAGATCAGAAAGTTTTATGAAAAGGAACGAAGCACTATATTAAATACTTCTGGAGAAGGAAAACAACTTTTTTATTTGAATACGTTTTTCATACTCTCCAACGCCAGAGAAAAAATGGCGCATACGTCATTAAGCCGGACGTACTATAGGCAGGGCCGTTCCTGACGGAGGTGCAAAAGATGCCCCCGCACCTGGGCGACCAAACCTAGAGGCGACCGCAAATCATTTATTATATATAAAATTTCGACTAATAAGAATAACAATCCAAAATTTGTTGATGATTATTAAAATTTGAAACAAACAGAATTCAATCAAATTAATTTTATACGTAATCTTTGGAACACTACTCGTATACAAGAATGAGCTCTCTTTATACATATACAGCCCAAAAAAGCATATGACGTTTAGCTATATTTATTGGATTAAATTCGTGTAGACTATTAATGGTCAATATTATTAACTATAACATCCTTATTACAGACACTATACGTTAGTTTTGTAGTTATATGTACAATCAATCATGGGCGTAGCCAAGGGGGCAGGGGGTTTCACTTGCCCCTCCCCCTGGACGGAAAAAAGTAGCTTTTGTTCCACCCTACAAGAAAAAAGTTGGATTTTGCCTCCTCCCCCCCTCCCTTCCCAGAGTTCCAAAATTTGTGCGTAATTGATTGATTTGTGCTCTTTAATGAAACGCATACTATTTGAACGATTTACGACTTTGAAAACAACATTAAGTGTCTGGCTGCGTACAGCCTTTTTCACTGTGACAGTCGATGTATTAATATTTTTGCCCCCCCCCCTGACTGATAACCTGGTTACGCCCATGGAATTAAATATTCATCTTAAATAAAACCACTTCTCTTTTAAGGATCTTTGTTTCATTTTATGAAAATAAAAATTAGAAAATTTTCCTTTTGCATGATAATTGTTAAAATAACTATATAAAAAGATGAAAAGTACTTAAACATACTTTTGTACCATATGTTGCTTAGATAAAAACTAAAACGTACTTTTATATAAATACAAAAGTAAACACAACAGTAATTATTTAATATTAAATTAATAAGGGCGGCGATATTGTTTTTGCACCCAGGCGGCCAACAACCCAGGAACGGCCCTGACTGTAGGTACAAATCAATTGCCATTAATTTGGTAAAATTGATAAAATTGATGATCAACATTTTTTCGCACTTGAAGTTTTTCATTCAAAACGGCAGTTTCGTGTGCGTCAAGTCAATAATAAGGTCGAAGAAGAATAGGCGACTGATAGAAACAGTAAATAAAATTTAATAATTGTAATACTCCTTTTTGCAGTTTTTAGTACCCTATCGTCTGGGATGTGTTCGATCGGATTGTACTTCGTGTACAATAAGCACCAAAACCTGATCGTGTCGGCCTTCTTCAGCGGTGTGATAAGCTGCGGTAACGCGGCGCTAGACTGTCTAATAACCGAGGTTTTCCCTACCCATCTCCGAGCGACCGGAATCGCGATTTCCATGGTCGCGGCTCGTCTCGGTGGAATTATCGGGAACATCGTAATAGCTCAACTTCTGGACATGTACTGTCCAGCACCGACCTTTATCGTTGCTGCTCTTCTAATTGGTTGGTACATTTGTAAAAAGTCTCGTGAACATAGGAAGAAACTGTTGGTGAACAACCTATACAGTAAATCATTGATGTGTGTTCTGACTCAGTACCGAGGAACCTTCGAACACTCATTGATGATTTACTGTATAGCGATGGACATGGAATAGTATAAACATTATATAGATGACAGTAAATAGTATAAAATCCGCAGTCTGATAGTAATGAATCTAAATTGTTAAGAAATGAAACGTTCATTTTATGAAAAAGAAATCAAGGGTACATGTTGTTTCTTCTTCCTAGTGCTGTGGAGTGCAGTCAAAATATGACTAAAATATATAATAATCGGCCATATATCAAAGTATTTAACACTAATGGGTCTTAATTGACTGTATTTATTTTAATACAATTGTCAATAGAAGTAGGAAGAAACAGCATGGACCAAGATGCTTTCGTTTAATTCTTTGTCAAATGAGTACTTTTGATGTTCACACCCTATACATATATGCAGTGGTGCAAACCAAGAATTATTTATTTCGTATTTGCAGGTGGAGGATTGTTGTGCTTATTCTTACCAAACACAACACGGGAACCACTTTCTTGACACCGGTAGAGAATTCCATCGAACTCGACTCAATGTACAGTCTCGTATATAAATTAAAAAGAAAAAAGAAACTTCGAATTATGTTGAACTGGCATATCCACGCTCATGCAGCTTCTCACATTTAGTTCATGAATGAATGATCATTATAAACAGCAGTATTGCTATAATCGAGCAACAACATTCCTATTTTACATATCAAGTTTGAACGGTAATGAAGAAGTAGTGTTAACTGATAGGCCTCATGATAGTAAGATGTATTGTTGAACAAGAAAGGAGATGCAATACGAATACGAACCCGTACGACGCTTTCATTGTAAGTAAAGCGTTCGATGTATTTCTATATACTTTCAAGTATTAAATACACTCTGGATAGAACATTCCATGTTCCGAAGCGTGTGGATTTTGTATACTGATACTAACTGTGAAATGTAGATACGACACTTATACCAGTACATCTCACCCTTCGATAACATTTTAATATGTACTTTTTTTTATGGTTCATCGTTCGTTCGCATCGACTACCGTTGTTGTACGTTGTGTACTCCCCATATATTTGTAATTTAAACTGTACCAATTGCAACAATTTGAAATATAAAACAGAAATGTAACAATTAAAGACAGTATTCCTTGGAAATAATTATTCGACTTTCTGCGGTTGAGATTGCTCCTTTTTATTCGTGTTCTGAAAATCTATTTATTATAATTAAAAGTTTTTGTCACCCAAACGTGTTCATTGAAATCAACTGTACCGTAAGCCACGTCCTTCGTGAAATTGTTTCCTATAGTATCCGTGAAAGACAGAATGAAAACATAAAGAACATGTAATCTATATTTTTCAATATGTAACAGGTAAGCAAAGTATTTGCAATCTTAGATCTCCTATAGTGAATACATTGGAATCCATTGAATAAAATGAAAAATACATAATGACAAAGGACACATTGTACAAAGGTTTACTACGAATGAAGATAAAGTATAAATATTTATATGGCATAATATAAAAATCTACAGAAGTATTTTAAAGTAGGTGTGTGCCGATACTTTTTTAAGCCACTGCAAAATTACTCTATCCAAACAGAAGTTCTCTGTACATACCATTAGAAAGTAAAGATAAGAGAAAGGATAGAAATAAAACAAGAAATTTAGAGAACAGTGTAATCTTCATTTTCCACGGTACATTCAATATCCACTTAGTGTATAAAGTTATTCTCTCATCATCTTTTCCTTTTGCCTAGCAAGCTTCTTCTTACTCAATTTCTTTTTGGAGGGCTCTTCCTCTGGACTCTTAACAACAAAGTCTTCCTTCTCAGTCAGAATTACTTCAATGTGACACGGAGAGCTCATGTAAGCTATGAAAACGAATAGAATTAATTACATTACCGACCAGCTACTAATTCCGTGGTTTCAAAACAAACTGATCATAAATACTAACGATTGATGCGACCATGAGCTCTGTATGTTCTCCTTCTCAAGCAAGGAGCATGGTTCACTTGAATATGATAAATTACGAGTCGGTCAATCTCCAGTCCTCTAACATCGGCGTTACTTTCTGCATTTTTCAATAGCTGCAGTAAGAATTCTGCTGACTTTTTAGGCCAACGACCTGAGTAAGGATAAAAGGTATTCATTAACAGGAAATGTAAAACCTAAAATTGAAAAACAATGAACCCACTTAATTGAATGAAATTAAACTTTTATCTATGACTTGTCCTCAATCCATACTGTTTTATCCTTATAATTATCTTTTGCTCAATGCTCTTGAACTAATAATATGTGTGTTATCTATGCCTATAAGCCATGTATTATATGTATATATGTATATAGATATCCCATAAACCCTGCATTATTGTAACTTCCATTATATTTCATGAAACTAAACATTACTTTATACTCTTATCCTCTCTTTCAAATATATACTCTTCCATATAGTTCTTCAGAAAATGAGTACTAACCCAAACTCACAAAGAAAATATTCCAAATGTAACCCTTAATTTTAACAAGCTTTCTTCAATTTGTATTATTCAGTACAATGCCAGTATCCCTTATTAAATGTAAACAGTTAATAGTTCACAAGATAATAACAATTAAAGTTGTCTTATGTGCAGTATATTCTTAATTAGGTGCTATACTTTCAACAATCAGATAATACAGCTGTTAATTATCAAGTTACGAAACCACTTGTAATGTTAAAGCACAAGTTTAAGTGTTAATATGATAATTTTCTTTATATTAGTTGCATATTCTTTTCAATTCTTACTTGAACTATAATTATTAGTATTTCCTTACAAAATCAATCATAAATAATAAAGATATTTGAGGTTAAAATGTATTTGAATACTTTTGACTCTAATGTCTGCTTGGAATTGTATTTGAAGAATTTCCCCTGACAGCTCTGAATATACAGTGGGTGTCAAAAGTATTTGTACACCCTTTAAAACGGAACAACTTTTTTAAAATTGGTCCAAATGACTTGAATTCTTTTGCGAAATTAGGGACACTACTTTACTAAATATGTAAAAAAAAATTGAAGAAGTTGCAATTATTCGAAATCGCGAAGAAAATAGTAAAGGTCGTTTTTTACAACTTTTTCATCTGAGACTATAATGAAAATTTAATAAATACATTTCGACGATTTGTGTTAGTTATATACATGTTGAAAATTGCATCAAAATCAGTTAATGTTGCTACGAGATACAAACGATTAAAAACGTTGAAAATTACAGTTTTTCGCGACTTTTGACCTACAACTGTAGTATATCTAAAGATTCTTACATCTTTTGACGTCTGTTACTTGTTTCTGTATTAATTGATTTCAAAGTTTCAGTACGTATATAACTAACATAATTCTTCGATACGTTTTTATTAAATTTTCATTATAGCCTCAGATTAAAAAGTTACAGAAAGCAACCTTTTCTATTGTATTCACGATTCCGACCAATTGCAACTTTTTCAAATTTTCTTTTACACATCATTTAGTGAAGTAATGTGTCTAACTTCACAAAAGAGCTCAAGTTGTTTGGACCAATTTTAAAAAAGTTGTTCCTTTTTACAGGGTGTACGAATACTTTTGATACCCACTGTAAGTCTACCTGAATCATAGTCAATCAAGTCCAACATTATAAATGAAAGTAAATCTATGAAAAGCACATTTTTAACTCTTGTATAACCCGATTCATTGCAATTTATTATTAGCTAAAACTTACCCTGTGTGGTACCGAACTGTTTTGCTTGAGTACACCTGCCAACACCGCCATTGAATCTACGGAATGGTATGCACTCCTTGTGTTCGATCACATTTTTCAAATATTTCTGCGCCCTTCGCAGAGGCATATTCTTGATGGCACGCGCTGTTTCATGTGTGTTCTGTAACAGAGAATAAAGAAAAACAATAATCAGAAGTCATGACGCGTTTTGTAAACACAACTATCTTGCGACTTAGAGGTTAGATTTGACGGTGAACAGTTGTTACTTTATTTACCTTGAAATGCACTCGCAAATTAGAACCCCGTGCTTTGCACGACTTGGTCGCGTTTACCGGTTCGTGAGAGTAACGTCCCATTGCGTTCTGGAAACACAGAAAGTTCAATAACAATTTTTCTCACATCAGTGTCCGACGACCTAGGTATCGCGGTCCGATCCGCCGTCACGCGATTTTCAATCTCAACAAACATTATTTATCAAGTATAAAATTCCCACTTTCTCCAGCAAAACAACAATTTGAGGTCACAAGTTGAGAAATCTCACAGTATCGAGGCGATTGTTCACGTAAAATCGCAGATGTAAATAGATTCAGAAACTTTTATGGGTTAGGCCATACGTACCTCTAGACAGCACGATTTTAAAGGAAAAGACGTCACGTGCGCAACTAAAATGAACTTCCTGTATGTTCAGTACTACCAACCTGAAAACTCTTAAGACAAAAAATACTACAAATCTTTTCAGTGTAAAGTCTCCAGCATATTTTATTTTTTCCGCAGGAACTGTCGGACACAATTCTAATAAAAACCAAGCAATTGGAAGACACGCTAACGATCAAAACGTAATAGCACCGACTAGGTATAGAATAGACCTATCATCCAATGCTTTTTTCTGTCCCACGTTCGCAGGGCTACGTAGCCCTGTTACCATTTTAGTGTCAATATCCGACGTTACCGATAAAGCATGAATTCTGGGTATTATTAGCACAAATGAAGTGTTATTCCATTCATATTGTGTGTATCTATATGATTTGACGGGAATAAAAATATCCGATGCTTCAGTTTAAAGTTAAGGGATAAATATGACAGTCATAAAACACGAAACGGAAAAGTATATATGTTTTCACTTAACTACAAGACAATTTATTCTAAATGCATCGTTAATGGACACGTTATTAATGTTACTTTTTACATGTTCTTGTTTTATTCGTTTTTATATCTTGCTTTACATTTGTATATTTGTAACAGATAAATTCAGAATAGATGTAGTTTCA